GGGGGTGGCACTCAGTGTAAACCGCTCAGAGCCGGGGGTGGCACTCAGTGTAAACCGCTCAGAGCTGGGGGTGGCACTCAATGTGAACCGCTCAGAGCCGGGGGTGGCACTCAGTGTAAACCGCTCAGAGCTGGGGGTGGCACTCAATGTGAACCGCTCTTTTCACTTGTCACGTTGCCTACTAAGCACTCTCTGTGTCTGGATTAGGCGCTATGCTTTGAATTTCTTAGGAACAGGAACCGTATCTTACTCCTCTCACGCCATGCCTAGCACCAATTTGCCGAAGAAGTGAATACTAAAAAGAAGGAAGACAACCAAGCAGAAGGAGGCACAGAGACTTAACACACCACTGTTAGGTTGGTCTTACCTTAATTTTTGGAAGGAATCCAATCCGACCCCGCTTATGTTCCAAATTTCGAGGTTCTTTCACTTTTACTCCCAAATGCTTCATGTACATAAGAATAACATACTGCATTGTGGAACTGGAGGAGAAAAATTAAGTAATATAAGACTTCTGGGGAGGGAGGATGGGTAGCATAAAGATATCAAATGACTTCCAAAACTCCAATGCTGGGGTTCTTGGAATTAATTCATGAATAAAAAATAAGGGACCATCTATTCATTGCAAACAGAAAACAGCTCTACTCAAGACACTAGAATATTAGTCAAATAAAATGCAGGCCCACCAGAAGGAGACAGTCTATATCTTTAAGGTAAAGAAAATAAATCGTAACTTAGGACGGAAAAGAGTTTCTTTTTTCCTTAAAATTCTAGCAAAAAAATAGTTCTATTACCTCTTATCTTCTTCCACAGCCTGAGTAGTCATCCTGAAAATAAAAACAGTAAAAAATAAAATATTAAAGTTTAAAACAAAGTTGCTATTTAGCTCAGATACCTGAAATAGCAGAACAGAGCCAGACACTCTGGGTCCTACCCTGAATCTCTATCACCTGGAATAAAACACCAAAAACCTCTCATCTCTGAAGGAACCACACGGCTTTCACACTCACATCACCAGCTGTAAATGTTTTATAACAAATAAATATTTCCAAAACATATGAATTGAAAGTCCACAACCTGTTTTTGGTTGGTCAGAAATTTTACCAATTTTACTCATTTTACCAATACCCAGGGGGATGGGGGTAGGGGGGTAAAACACAGGAATTTTATCTAAAATAAAATTATCAGCAAAAATGTAAAATTCCTGTTTCTCAAGTATCTTGACAAAATAAATAGCTCCACATATACAATCTGACACCCTTTCTGAGTTTGTTCAGCGTGCGCCTCAGCAGAATCAGCAGCTCAGGACAGAGGGCATTTCTACTCCAGTTACTTACAGCACTTCTTCGACTTTGGCGACGATCTGCTCCGCACAGGCCCGCTCCCTCTCCAGAGTTACCCGGTCCTTGTCTCGCTCTGCATCAAGTTTAGTCAGTTCACTTTCGGCCAAGGTCAGCCCCATGCTACGTTTCTGCCTAAAGGAAATAGGAGAAATGTCTTGAGGTAACCTAAAGAGAAACTATTTCCCTCTGGAGATGTTTCATCAGAGTTTCCATAGCTATGAGTTTCTAGCAACAAGCAAAATGTCAGTTTTCTATTTTGGGGCCCATGTCACCTAGGACACCAAAGGAAAAAAATTCTAGAGGCAATCACTGAACGGAACACACAGCCTGAAGGAACACACTTAGCATGGCAGTACTGAGCTCAAATCCTGAAGTGTACAGAACGGGGACCATGGACTCCTGACTCCAGAGATTCATTATATTTTAGTAACAGCGATAAAGACTATATGCTAAGCCAAAGATTGAATGTGTAACCTTTTCCTACCTAAAAAGAAAATTAATTCAGAATGACCATATCAGATACATCTACCACCACGCTTACCGAAAATCTTCCAAGTGCTTCTGAACTTCTGGGTGAACTCTTTCTTGCATAGTTTGGATATAGTGGCGATGTAGATCCTCAGGGATAAGCTCAGGTCTTCTTTTTTCTGGATAAAGGAAATAAATGATCTAAAGGTGTGCTTTGTGTATTGTAACTGGCAACATATCGATACTATGTGGTGCAAATTTAACTTGGAGTAAGACGAAGAGAAGTTTTTCAATGCATTTTATGTATTTCATCTCAGAATCTGGATTTCATTTATCCTTTAATATATTACAAACTCTCTTTCTGTTGTGATTCAGAATGACCTACCAGTCACCTTCACAGATAAGCTGAGCTATGTATCTACGGAGATGATATTCTCTGGGATATTGGTACTCTAAACTTACCTAGATCTACTGATATTTCATCAGGAACAGAAACTTTCAGGTGCTAAAACAAAAATGCAAACAGAAAGTGAAACAACACTAAGAACTTTTCAACATGTATATAAGTACTTGTGTAAAGTAAAGAGATAATACAACTTTGGATAACTATTTTTGCAAGCATATTCATGTATAAGCTCATTTATTGGGTTCCACCCATCCAAATTTCACAGCTCTGGAATGTCCCATTGTTTAGACTTGAAAATAAGCCCTTTTCCCAAGGATCAAGCTATGAAGGAGATCCCCACAATCACTGCACTAGATGACTGAATGCTTCTGCGTCTTATGTATTCCTGTTGGCTTTCTAGAATCACTGGTTAATATAATCAGCTATATATCATTTGAATCAATACAGATAAAACCTAAACTATGTGTATATTATCCTATGAAAAATGTACTCATATACAACCATGATTTTCATTTGTTGTATTTTAGACAGTCACACTACAGAACATGATATTCCTAGTCATTTTCCTATGCAAAGTCAGAAAAATCTCACAATAGTCACACACCCAGGGAAAAGATACTGAATGTCAATGATCAGGCTCTGGAGTCTTAAATCTATAGTAACTATCTGTAGTTCTTACTACTGAGCTAAGGTGACTGTCAATTTATTTCTTCTTAGCTGGGATTTCCCCACAACAGCGGCACTTTCTCATCCCATTACCTGATGGTAGTGTTTTGCTTTCTGTCAATTTGGAAAAAGTCTTGGAAGAAAATTGTAATTTTTGCATTTAGAGAAAGCATCTAAACCTCTTCATGCTTACTTTATATTGAATACCTACTTTATTAAAGCATGTATTTCCAGAGTTTAAACAATTCCTGTAAGAACTGAAGTTTTACATTTAAAAACAAGTCACTGCCAAAAATTGTAAGATCTCTAATATTCATCTGAAGAACAATGAAATGGATTTCAAAGCTTTCTCTTTAACTAAAGTTGCCCTGCAGTAGCTCAAATTAACTTTCCTACAAGTATTTCTAGCACAAATGCAAAGAAGTATATAAATCCTCATTTCTGTATGTGGGTTTTGATATGAAATAAATACCACCCTTTGCATAAAAGAATAACACATTAATCCATCAGAATTCTTGTGTTTTTACATTGGTGAGTTTAATATAGATCAGCAACAGCAAAATATAAAATTTTGACTTAGCATGAAGCTCTTAAGAAATGTGAAATTCAAATATACTTCAATATTTTGTCATTTCTTCATGGAAGCAATTATCTTAATAAACATAATAAGTATACTTAAACAATGGCAGTATAATGAGAACCCTAATTCATTCAATAAATGTCTGAAAGCAGTTTTGGGGAAACAGCAATGAACAAACAGAACAAAAATATCTGCTCAAACAGAGCTTACATGCAAGGGCAGAAAATTTAAGATTATAGACAAACTAAATAAATAAATAAAATTTAAGTTCTGTGGACAAAAATAAAGTGACAGAGAGTGAAATGGGCTGAATTTTACCTAAGTAAAATTGGTTTCAGAAGACCCCATTGAGAAGCAACTGACTGCACTGGCAATGTGTAGGCATGTGGGCAACTCTGTAAAGGAACACAGAGAAAATGGGGCAAGAGTTGGAAGAAGTGGAACTACAATGTTTGTGTGTGTGCTTGTTTGTTTGAAGATAGGAGGACTAACAATGTCTGCAGGCTGATGTGAAAGATTCAGTAAAAAACAGACAGCTGATGATGGAGGAGAGGAGGAGAATGGCTAGAATAATGTCCTTGTGTAGGTTTAAGGAAGTACAATCTGGGTAAACAGAGGAAGGCTTAGCCTCAGATAAAAGCAAGAACCCCTTCACAGCAGCATCAGGAGAAAGGGCAGAGCATATGGTATGATGCAGGCAGGTGATATATCTGGTAGAAAAGTCTCTTCTGCATGTTTCAAGTTTATTGAAGAAACAGCAAGGTCATCAGCTGAGAAAAGGATAGGAGAGGAAATGATGGAGGTTTTAGAAGACAGAGGGTATGAACAGTCACGTAGAGAACTGCAAATGTGAGAGGCATAGGGCCATGCACCGTGATTATCAAGGAAACCTTAAGAGCTTTTATTTATCCTAAAGCAAGGTTAATAATAAAACTTCTTAGTTTAAAAACCTTACTAAGTTTTCCATTGGTAAAGGAAAACACTATTATCATTTACTATTATTTATGTGAGTAAGATCTTATCCACCAGTTTAAATTCTGCCTCCAAACTTCAAAGAGGCCAGCCACAGTTCAATTACTGCAAGCATTATCCTTTGGACCACAATAAGTTTGAGTGTATCATTTGTGTTCCCTGTTTTACTCCCTCATCCTAATTATGCACGTGTCTAAAACCCAAATATACATATATATCCCCCCAAACTTACTGTGAGAACCCAAATGCCTACAACTAACTGAGAAATGATAAATAACAGTCATGAGTAATCAATAATCGAGATATAATATAGATGTCAGAAAGCACTATTAAGCCCAAAAACAGAGGGAAGTTTGGAAGTAGTTGGCCTAAATGCACTAAAGCAAAGATTATAACATTGACTTGGTAACTTACTGCAGAGCGATCCAGGAAGAACTGGTGAAACTCAAGGAAGACGCGACGAGTCTCCTTAGAATTGGTCTGTTTGTACAGGTCTGAGTAGAGGTAACAGAGCTGTGGTGGAGGCAGAAATCGAAGAGACAGTGAAAAGTCATGAAAGGTGCTTTCTGCTAGATCCTCACTGAGTAGGAATGAGCAGGTCACCATAAACACTGTATTTTTACCATATAACCAAGTCTTTAAAAAAAAACATTTTAATTATCTTTCATATCCATCTTTATATGTTTAGAAAGTGGGGTTTTATGATATACGAATCAATGTAAGAACTCTGAAATTGGCTAAACTGTAAAATATATTACCAGTGTTGCAGGATCAAACTGTGAAACTACATGGTGTAAAAACACAGCCAAGTGAGCAGGGCGAGATTTTAGCAGTTCGATGCTCTGGAAACAGCTGCACTGCCCATTGATCTAGAAAAAGAAATCATTACACATCAATAACTTCTAACACACAAATGCAAAATGGAAGCTCAATGTGACGCACAAATGCAAAATGTAATTAAACACAACTATCCGAATTTCACTTTGACATACCCTAAAACAATTCACCATTTAAAAAATTTCACTAGAATTTATTAGCAACATAGGTTATGGAATCTCTTCCTTGGAAAATCAACAATCTCTCGGGGATAGGTTGGGACCATCTTGGGAGAAGGCAAATTTAGAAGATTATCAAGGAGGTCAGGTATCTATAAATCACTATGCAAAAAAGTTTAACAACACTTCTAAAAATGTAATGGAAGGCTTTTTTTTCTAATAATGAAATAGCTGTCTCCTTTTCCTTTGGGCTAATCTTAGAAATGGTGGTAGGAAATACAGCTGTATAACCTTAAGTAAGACAACTCCTAGAATTCTTGTATATTCCTAACTACCTTTAACACAGAAAACAGTAATAGTTAAAATAACCTTCTGACCAACATCTCCCATAAACACTGACATAAAAATCCTCAACAGAGTAATTGCAAACTGAATCTGGCAATACATAAAAAGGAAAATACATTATGATCAACTGGGGTTTATCCCAGGAATACAAAGCCGGTTGAATATGCTAATATCAATCAATGTAATTTACTATACTAAGAGATTAAATTTTAAAGAACATATGATCATTTCAATCATTCAATAAAATTCAACATCCATTTATGATAAAAACTCTAGCAAACTAGAAGGACTTCCCTAACCTAATAAAAAGTAACTACAGGAACATAGATAACATACTTAATGATGAAAGACTGAATGGTTTCTCCCTAAGATCAGGAATAAGACAAGGATACCTTGTCTCACCGCTCTAAATCAGAGTAGCTCACAGGAGAAGTACCCCACCCCCCGACCAGTGCAATAAAAGTAAGAATGAGAAGTAAGATAAACAGATTGGGACCAAGCAAATTAAAATTGTCTCTATTCATAGAAAATGCTGCTGCTTATGTAGAAAACCTCAAGTAATTTTAAAAAGCTAGAAGTCGTGAGTTTATTAGCAAGAGGACAGGAATCACGCCAGTCATATTTCTATATGCTGTCAATCAACAATTGGAATTTGAAATTTAAAAAAAATTACAATAACACACCCCTCTCCCAAAATGAAGTACCTAGGTATAATCAATTACTTCTCATAAGCTTTAAAAGCAAAGTCATTTCTACTGGTCAAAGCTAAAATAAGCAATTAACCAATCAATCTTGGTTCTAAGATTAGGTTCAAACCTTTACAAACATAATTTCAATCTTCAGGAAGTATTCATTTTTGCAACAAATCAAACATCTCAGAAAATAAGTAATTTGTATTTTAGAAAAAAAAAATACCATCACCTGTTCATGTTCAGTACCAAAATCATCATCCTCTGCCCCAATAATATGAGGTGCTGTACGGGTTGAGGGGCTCCCAATAAGTGACTGAGTATCCTGGGAACATTCAGAGAAAAGAACAGAAAAATTATCTAGAGGTCAAACGCAGGGCAAGAATAAAGCCAAACCCTCAAAAAGACATGGTTCACTAAACCAATTAGATTTCTTTTTTTAATTTTCTTTCAGTACTTTATTTTCAAAGTAGTAGTTCTCAAATTTTCAAGGCCATGAACTATTTCAGCAAAGAAAACCACAACAGTATTGGTTGTTTCTTGGGGAGAAGAACACTTCCTCTGGAAATAACAAACACCCTTTGCTCACTATACATTGGATATCTGATTCTAAACCACTCTCTGTATGCTTTATTTATTTTACACATATCTAGACCTTGTTAATACAGAAAGAAAGAAAGTTGGCTTACATAAATAGCTGCCAATTTTGTAAAGTTAGATAACAAAGTGAATGAACATAACAGGACAAAGGAAAAAAAGAGAGTAGAAATGGTAAAATGAGCAGAGGCTAGTTAATAAAGATTTCTCTTAATGCCACATCCTTGAAAGCTATCACTGAGCCCTATTTTTCCATTTTTAATTCATTTTCATAAATGCACAATGCAGGGTTTTTCAACCCTGGCACTGTTGACATTTTGGGCCAGACTGTCCTTTGCTGTGTAGTCTTGTGCACTGTGAAATGGTAAGCAGCATCCTTGGCCTCTACCCACCCACCAGCTACCAGTAGCAGCCTCACAGTCATGTCAATGAAAAATGTTTCTAGATGTTGCCAAATGTCTTCTGAGGGACCAAAATCACTTCTGGCTAAAATCACTGGAACAATGCAATAAAATTTTCAAGTAATCATATAACACTGCTATAGGAACAAAGATAACAAAATTGCCAAAAATAAACCGTAGGTTGGCAGATCGTATTCCCACGCAATAGTTCATCTATTTGTTAACTCACAGTTGGATTTAGCATAAAAAAGGAAATGTAGGAACCCTAATGTGTAAAACAAAAAATATGCCATGTTTGAAGACCACAAATACTAGAATCAAAAATCATACAATATTAAGAAAAATAAAAATACTGGAGGAAATAGGAAAAGAATGACTTTGGCTTAAATCTGACAGCAGTTGAACACACAGGATCTGGAGCTGAGCAAGGGGAGCGGGCTGTAATGATTTGGGAGTCATCTGCATAGCACATAGTTGAAGCTATGTACATGGATCCACAAGTTATAAAGTAATAAATAATAAGTAACTGTAGTTTTCCTCTTTAGTTTGTTGCAACTCTATGTATTTACATCTCCTAAACTTGATTCTGCCTTTATTACTACTTGCTTTTTAAACCCCAAGGCTTTAACAATTAAAGAAAAAAAAATCAGGTGAAACAATAGAGATTTCTTTAGGGTAGTATAGTCCAACAACTTTTGAATTTATAGCTGATTTAATGTCCTTAATTTTTCAATAGTTCTTATATTGCTAAGCTTAACTGGTGGATCACAATCTGCTATTAAATGTTTTACTACAAAACTTTATACAAGTCTAATTAAAAAATAAAATCAGAATGCTAAAATTATTCATGTAAGAATATGCAAGATCCAGCAATTCCAATTCTGAGTATATACCCAAAAGAATTGAAAGGAAGAGCCTGAACAGATATTTATACAACCATGGTCATGGTAGCATTATTCACAATAGCCAAAAGGTGGAAATAACCCAAGTGTTCACTGACAAATTGACAGGATGAGCAAAATGGTATATACACACAATGGATTATTATTCACCTTAAGAAGGAAGGAAATTCTGACACATGCTATGACATGGATGAACCTTGGAGACCTTATACTAAGTGAAATAAGCTGGTCTAAAAAGGATAAATATTGTATGATTCTACTTATAGGAGGTTCCTAGAGTAGTCAAATTCATGGAGTAAAACGGTGATTCCCCCCTTTCATTAAACTGGTAAACATAAAAAAAAAAAAAAAGCTTCCCAGGGGCTGGGGGAGAGGCCTATGGGGAATTAATGTTTAATGATACCGAGTTTAAGTTGAAGATCAAGATAAGCTTGAAAGATGGCTGCACAACCATTTGAATGTAACTTAATGCCAATTAAGTTAAAATGCCAATTACATTAAAAAGGGTTAAAATCATACTTTCATGTTATGTATATTTTACTACAATAAAAAAATAGCATTAGATCACCTAATAATACTAATTATGGAGTGGCTCTCCATTTATCAAATTTGTATTAAGTTCCTTCGACAAGTTTTAGTTTTTTTTCTCCAAAAAATAAAAAATAAAATAGAAATATCAGTTACGTCTGTCACATGAAGGAAAGCACTATCATTTCATGGACTTCATACTCACAGTGTCCTGAATTACTTCACTTTTCTCTGGGTTTTCCTCTAGATAAATCCTCTCTTTCAGGCCACTCTTGGGACTCTAATTTAAAAAAAAAAGACATTTGGTTCATCTCACTGGGCTCACCAGAAGGAAATACAGAAAAACAGTATAAAAGAATAATATTCTTAATTTCCTATCTGTATTTGAGACTACTAAATATCTTTCATATAATACCTGGCTCCGCTACTTTTTCCCAGACTTTGGCATGTCATTTATTTCCTCAGTATTTTAGTTTTATGTTGATAAACAATATACAGAACCAACAGAATAGTTTTACTTCATTTCCTGGCCTGAGGGCTAATTTCTATACCAAATAACTCTAATTAAATATATTATATATCTCAAGTTCATTATATCAAAATCAAACTCTATCTTTATAGATCTCCTTTAACCCATTTATCTATCCAAGTTCAAAATCATTTTGGCCTATTTATATGAATGAAACTAAACTTCCATTTTTCTGTTACTACTTCATATGAAACTGATGTATGGATTTTTATAAAATTTACATGATATGTTTGGGATGACCTAATATAAAATATAAACATGATACACAGAACTTCAACTTTGGGGGATAAGTGAACACCCCAAAGCAATGGGAACCATTCTTTAGTTGAATATGGGTTTAAGAGATTTTTGTGTGAATGTTCAAACAGGCACTTGTAGGAATTAAACTGTTTCTTACATGTTCAGTAAATACCCTCATCTGCGCTGTATAATCTCTCAACTGGATTTCCACAATAGCCATTTATTTATTTGGTCTCAGTTTCCTCATCTATAAAATGGTGATGTTGCTTCTTTAAGATTATAAGGAAAATTAAAAGAATATCTGTAAAGTGTTAGGTACAACTGTTGGCACCAAGTAGGTATTCAAAAATGGTAACTATTTATTGACCATTCAATACGTGTCCGCTAAGTCCCTGTTAAGCACAGCAGTCTTCTTTTCTTAGCGATCCCTCTGTCTCCTTCTTCCAATTCATTTTACACACTGACACATTTTGGGCCTCTCTTCTGCATTCAAGATAAAGGCCAAACTCTTCACTCATTCATTTTGTTTTTCATTTAAATATTTATTAAAAATCAATTATATGTCAAATAGCCTTAATTTACTAGAATGCCTGCTTCTACACTTGCCAATTCATTCTTTATTTTATGGAGTTATATTTCTAAGCCACAGACTTTATTGTAACATTCCTATAAACACAAAATAAAATTCAAACTTTCCATTCATACAAGTCGTTCTGAATTCCTACAATCTCCTGGGCTTTTGAGACATAAAGTCAAATAAGATGGCCTCTGTGCTCTCAATGAACTTTCCATCTAATGGGAGAGACAAGCCATGAAAACAGAGAGAAGCAGCACAAATCAAAAAGTAGCCAACAAGGATTCCCAAAAGCAGTATACTGCTGGGACAAGCTGCAGTCCTGTAACCCCTGGACTCAGGAGTTTGTTTCTAAGAGAAACACTAGCCATTTCATCCATAACCCTAAAATATCAGTAAAATTTCTATTGCTGTCCCACATATTTTCATACCTCAGTGCCTTTGTTTATACCTACAGTGCTGGTACTTTGGAGCTAGGTAACGGCAGATCATCTATGACCAGGGTAGTTAGCAAGGCAGTTAACTCCCTTTGCTCCTCCTTTTTTCTTTTATAAAGTATAACAATAGTACTACTTTATAATGTTTTGAGAATTAATTAAGATAAGGAGTGTAATATTATACCTATTGCAGCATACAGTATGTATGCCCAATGAATGTTAGCTATTTTAATTTTTTTCTTGAGTCAAAATGGAAATTTTTCATTAAAACCTTTAGTCTATCCTATCCTAAGACTCCAATCACCATCTGACCATCTGTAAAAAAAAGAAATCCTCAAATTTTCCTTGCATGAGAAACTGAGTCTTTGGGCTTAAGCCTCAAAAGGTAGCCTGAATGATGGCTTAGACCAAAGACTTAAAATTTTTTTTTAACCACAACCTTCAATAAGAGAAATTTTACATTGTTAATCAGCACACATGCACGCACACACACATACATGCACACATGGATACACATGTGTACACAAAAGTCACAAGAAGTAACACTTACCTCTTTTACATGCAAAACACTCTTATTTCCTAGTCTACTCTTTTTTTAATTTAATGCTGATGCCAACCCACTAAACTGATTTCATGATCTAGTTTTAAAAATACTGACGACTTCTTTCCTTATCACTTTTTTAGAGAGTGATTTATTTATAAGTCATCATTTCTATTATTGTATATCACTTATAAAGTATTGCTGAGTAAGTAACTGAACTTAGATTTTAAATATTCATATGACTATGGTGCTACATCACATTCAACTTCAAATATTTTCTTATCATCTTAAGAAATACCCATGTTTATCTGGCAATTTTCTGGGTTAATCAAAAAAGTTTTACTAAACAGGAGCTATTAACTGAAGTCTAATAGGACTACAGCTTTTCCTCTTTGTAATGGCAAAGTGCTCCATGATTCAAGACTGAGTCACTTTGACCACAAATGGAATATTAACATGCTCTTAAAAATATCAACAGTTGGCCTCTCAGTTCAGTAAGAAAGCACTAGCATTATTAACTTCTCTACCCACAAACAAGATGACTGCTGGGAAATTCCATGTCCTCAAAAGAAACATTTGGCAATGTGTGTCCAAGGAAAAAAGTGAACTCCGGAATTAAAAGCTCATATACAACAGTGTCCAGCATCTCTGCTCATTAAATTGCTATATTAAAGAGAGCAGTGGTAAAAAGTAATAAGAGAACGCCTCTCATTCATGTAACTTAAAATCAAATCTAGAAATGAGCTGTAAAGAAGAATTCAAGAAGATAAAGACATAGAACACTTACATCTGCATTGTCACTACTGGGCCGAGAAGCATCTCCACTGCTGTAGTCAATTCGGCCTAGTCCATCACCAGGATCTGCTTCTACCTCACCAACTGCTAGTGCGTCACCTAAAGGCTTGGAGGATGTAACTACAGCTCCATCCTAAAACAGTTTAAACACATACACAAGCACATTAAAAAGAATATTTTCATTTTTGACCATATAAAGAAATAGAGTCACACTGTAATCTACATGGAGACTGTTAAAAATCGGCCAGTTTGGTGTGACCAAGGATGCCTAAAGTTCTAAAAGTTAAAAACATAAATATTAACTACTAATTCTGTGGTTCTAAAATGACATAACTTTAAAAGCAGGGAAAGTGATATTTTAGCAAAGACAACAAATAGATAACTCTAGCAAAGAGTTCCAAATAGAACTACAAGATAAAATAGTTTGTTAAATTATATAATTTTCACTTCCTGCCCATTACTAAAGATTATTACACTATAACCTCTGGTTAGCTGCCTTCCAACACTTCAGAATTTCAGTAATTTGCCAGCTCTGGGACACAATATAATAACATAATTACAAGCTTTTAGATCACAGACCACATTTTTATTGCTTGAACAGAGTAAGAATGTTGTTTTTGCTGTAATAATAACATAAAACTGTCAACATTACTGAAGCATAATACTCAAAACTTCATATAGCTAATAGGATTGAATCTAATGGAAAGTACATTAAGCCATTAAGTCAGGAGACCCTAGACTGTGTTGGCCTTGTGTAAGTCATCTAAACAGCTTAGGCCCTGATTTTCTCAACCACAGCATTATTTTTTAACTTTAAAATGAGATTAGACTGGATGGCTTCAAAGAATCTTTTTAGTTTTATGAATATGTGATTTTTACTTACAGCCTGAACTCAGGAAGAGTAACAAATCATCAGCTTTGTCTCATTTTAAATGGCACAGGCAACATGTCCATTTTACTTTAAGATGAGGCATAAGGAGCTTTTCATATCCCAAATATGAACATTTTAGAATATAAATCTGGGTGACATGTAAATGCTGAGCTATTATTTCTAATGAGACCATCAGCTCTGTAACTTATACCTATATAGCAAATTCTACTGTGATCTACCTTAAAGTTTCAATAAAAATAGTCATTAAGAATATGAATGTGCTTTTGAATTCAACAGACTGAGTTAAAATTCCATTCTATCGCTTTAAACTACATGACCTCAGATAGATTATTTAATCCCTCTGAGTTTCTCTAAGTGTTTATGTTAAATGGAGAAAACTACAGCAGTATCTAATCTCAGAGGGTTATTGTACTGATTAAATAAGAAAATGCTTATCTATGTGTTTAGCACAGGCATTTTCTTACTTTGTAAAGCACAATGCTTTATGAAATCTTATGTCCCCACTTAAAAACATTAACTGCCATGTTGTTTCAAAATGGCAGAATGAACCTCAAAAATGTAAATACATGTATTGAAATACATTTTAGTAGTTTGTCACATCAAAGCAAGCGCACTCAATTCTTTCTTAAATTACTATGGAACAAACAAACATATCATGACAAGAAAACAAGCAGAAGCCTACGTCTCCTTTAGTCAGGCATTATTTTTGTAACCTCCTATACAGGACATCCTGTTGGCCTAGGCTAGAAGCACGACTGCAGCGTTCTCTAGCACACTCCCAGAAGGAAGCCCTCCTGCGCGAGGCCGGGCCGGCAGCGCGGCTACCTGGGGGGAGCCCGTGGCTCTGGACAACTGCTCTCGCAGCTGGGGAATGTGCTTCCTGGCCTCCTGGATCTCTTTCAGCAATCTTTGGGCAGGTGTGCGGTTGTAATCTTCCTGCAGTAACTGAAAAGTCATAGAAATATTCTGAGAATTAATTATATATGTCAAGAAAACATAGAAAAAGTCCCTTCCATTCTTAATACAACAGCTGATGGCACCGATATTACAATACTGCGTGACTGTGATTATGATCTAAATGAATGTGCTTTTGAATTCAACAGACTGAGTTAAAATTCCATTCTATCGCTTTAAACTACATGACCTCAGATAGATTATTTAATCCCTCTGAGTTTCTCTAAGTGTTTATGTTAAATGGAGAAAACTACAGCAGTATCTAATCTCAGAGGGTTATTGTACTGATTAAATAAGAAAATGCTTATCTATGTGTTTAGCACAGGCATTTTCTTACTTTGTAAAGCACAATGCTTTATGAAATCTTATGTCCCCACTTAAAAACATTAACTGCCATGTTGTTTCAAAATGGCAGAATGAACCTCAAAAATGTAAATACATGTATTGAAATACATTTTAGTAGTTTGTCACATCAAAGCAAGCGCACTCAATTCTTTCTTAAATTACTATGGAACAAACAAACATATCATGACAAGAAAACAAGCAGAAGCCTACGTCTCCTTTAGTCAGGCATTATTTTTGTAACCTCCTATACAGGACATCCTGTTGGCCTAGGCTAGAAGCACGACTGCAGCGTTCTCTAGCACACTCCCAGAAGGAAGCCCTCCTGCGCGAGGCCGGGCCGGCAGCGCGGCTACCTGGGGGGAGCCCGTGGCTCTGGACAACTGCTCTCGCAGCTGGGGAATGTGCTTCCTGGCCTCCTGGATCTCTTTCAGCAATCTTTGGGCAGGTGTGCGGTTGTAATCTTCCTGCAGTAACTGAAAAGTCATAGAAATATTCTGAGAATTAATTATATATGTCAAGAAAACATAGAAAAAGTCCCTTCCATTCTTAATACAACAGCTGATGGCACCGATATTACAATACTGCGTGACTGTGATTATGATCTATGCCAATTCGACTACCCACTCACGTTCTTACTGGCCTCCGAACAACCCCATTTCTAGTTTAGTACCTGTAGCCGTTCCTGCTCTTTCTGTAACATTTTTCTCAGAATTTCTACTTTCTGGTTATGAACCACATTGTTTTCTTCCTAGAAAAAGATAAAGAAACAAAAAAGAACCAATATAGTGAAAGAGAAGCTAAAGAAACAAACAGCAGTTATAAGGACAAGTTCTTCAACATGCCACTTGAGGATAAAAGGTTACAGGAAATTTCAGCCCTTCTGTTTCACTTTTACCAAACTTGGTTCAAGAAAACGCTAAATATTGTTATTACCTGGAGCAACAAAGTTGCCCTCAGTGTAAGATTGATACACGTTCCCTCCCTTGGATCTTTACTATCGATCCTAACGCAGGGACCAGATTCCCAGGACCTCCCACCTGAAATATGAAACAGCTCTGGAACTCATCTTCTACCATCTCTCCTTATTTCACAAGCATATAACATTTTATCGAATTAGTCTTCTTAAAATCCTGTTATAATCATTTCCCTTTCTGGCTCAAAATCTGTTTAATAGAGTCTTACCGCCTATCCAGTTACATGTAAATTAGCCTGGTAGTTGTGGTTTTTCAAAATACTTTTAGTTTTTTATGTAGTGGGCCCACTACATAAATCCTTAACTGCCACCACCCAGACAAGAGTCCTGCCTACTTCCCAAAAATTCTTGGTGCTTTCTTGGATCCTGAGCTGCTTATTCTCCTTCCTGTGGTTGGGCTATCTTCCTCCCCATTGCCACCACTTGTTACCTGTTTTTTTCAAGGGCCAGTTCAAAGAACAACTTTCCATAAAGTCCTTCCTCATCACAACTGGATGCGCTTTCTTCCTCCTTTGAATCATCTCATGACTTAATAATTTCCCCCTCACAATGTCTACATTCTGCCTTTTTATTTTATTTACTTGAACTCTGATTCATTCTCAAACAACAAAGGTTTATTTAACACCTGCTATATGCTGAGCAATATTTTAAGCACTGGGAACATAACAATAAACAAAAGAAACAAACAAACAAAAACGCTCCTGTCCTCTTAAGGTATATATTCTAAGATAACTAATGACCTTGAACAGAGGGTGTCTTAATTATATTTTTGTGGTGGCACCCTGTTTTGGAGATGGTAGGTGTTAAACATTTGTTGAATCAAATATGCTATTCCAATACTCTGTAATCATTCCAAGTTATTCATAATAGGAAGTTATTTTCTAGAATCTTGAACTTATCTGTTTATCAGCTCAATACTTTCAAACTCTTAATATAAAGCAAAGGCATCATATAACTGAACATTTACAAAGAAGTTTGCCCACTCTTACCCCCATGAGCACAGGACTAGTAATTCTCTCCATATTCCCAGATGCTCCAGGTGAATGAGGGGATGTCATGATGGGAGACATATGTCCAGTGACTGATGACTCTACTTCAGAATCGGCAAGTGGAAGCTGGGGCGACCCGGGTGGGCGTCCCTGAACAGTGAGAGCTACATAGGAACCAGCTTGGGGTGGGGAGATGGAATAAAGGGGAAGAAAGGGAAAATAACATTTTCAAAAACTTTTTACAGTAGTTCATTAAGAAGTGGGAGCTTTAACAGATCCAGTTCTGTGAGGAAGTTTCACCACCTGCTAACCACTCTGCATAGGGGAAAGAATCCCCTTTGTCATCTCTCTTTCATGACTCCCCTAAAAATCTAAAACAACAATGCCGTTTTCAGAGAGTACATCATTACTCGTAAGACTAGATACTACTTAAAAGCAACCAAAATTAATAACCCCAAGAATTTTTTTTCGAATGAGTTAGTATCAACCATCTACTAATGACATTGTTCAATTAATTCCTTAAATGTAAATTTAAAAAACCATCGTACTTTAAGATGGTACTAATTAGGTAGGGTTTAACTAATTTTCTGGAATATAACGATGAAATTTAAGTTAACTTTAAAAAATGAGTATGACAAAAAATATGCCACAAAAACTTTAAGTATATGTACTTTTTAAGGTTTTTCAATCTTAATTCTCTCTGTCAAAAAGTCATCTATTACATCGGATTTACTTATCCCATGTGTTTGCCCCCAACAGCTTCTTAGTTCTTCCTTTTCTTCTTTAGCTGTTTTTAAACTACTTTGATTTGAGGTCACTTTCATCATGTCAAGAATACGCACTGTAGAGTAGGACACGAGAGAGCTCTGCTGCAAGTACAGCACACAGGCACCAGGCATTTCAAATTTATAGCTGTTCTGGATACTCAGAGTGCTTCTTTAAGTGTTTAGCTAGGTTCTCCTTATTAGAATCTACTGCTACAGTCCTAGGATTTAATTTTTTAAGTAAAAAATACTTATATTGGAATGAGTAAAATATATAACCCAGGAAGCTAAAGAAATAATCTTACTTTTAATACTCTGCAATAGTTAGTTGTCAAGCATATATTTATTATCCTAAACCATCATATTTAGGTAGCATACAAAAATGCATAAATCACAACCTCATTAAATAAGTAATCAAATGTATTCAAGTATGAAGATCTAATTTGATCACTGCATTTCTTTTTACAATGTACTAAAGTTCATCACTATGATCAAGTGACAATTTAGAGCACTGGTGCTCTGATGAAAAGGTAAATTCATCAGAAAATTCATGGCTTGCTTTACATAAACAATAAGAAGGCCAAGAAGGAATTCAGTTTACTAAATTTACTCTAAAGATGTCCTCAATGACAAGAAATAGCATTAAATGAAATGTGTTCTTGCTTCGCCATAAACAACTATCTCTTATTGCAGTCTACTTTACTGTGGAACCATCTGATGCAGAAGATCAGAAATTCTTGACCCTGGAGATTTCCAAGAGATCACCACCTTGAATTATTTAATCATTTACTTATCTGAGGGAATGTGATTATACTAGATGATATTTAAGGTTTCATTTCAGTTCATCCAGGCCATTGCTTCTAGTTTCTCTTCCCTCTCAAGTGACTCATGCATTTCTTTCAAATATATGCTTTCAGTATTACCCAGAATGACAAGGATATTATAACCAACAACATACAGAAGTGGAAAGAAGACAGTAATTTGGAAGTTAAGAATTTTCATCTCAGACTTTATTTTAATGCAGAGGTCAGCAAACTCCAGTAAAGGGGCTAAATCCAGCCCACAGATTGTTTTGGCAAATGAAGTTTTATTGAAACACAGTCACACCCGTTCATTTACATACTGTCTATGGCTGCTTTCCCACTACAATGAGAGCGTCATGTGCAGGCATAAAGCCCACAAAGCCTAAAATATTTACTATCTGGCTCATTACAGAAAATGTTTGCTGATCTTTGCTTTAAGGGTTTCAGGAAACAAGACTGAGAATAACATTCACTTACATTTGATTAACTTTACCACTTCCAAATGATTTGAATGAGTCACCAGAGTTCCATTCACCTGTAAGAAAGTGAAAATATTGTCTGTCAGATAACAGTCCACTGAGACAATGGGTAAGCTGACTTCAGGAATTATTATACATGACTAATAATAGTACACAGGGCTATATTAGAATATGTATATGTTTGATTCAATACTCACTTTTATCACTATTCCATAACAACTACTCAGCAACAAAATGGAACTTGAGCACAAATCAAGAACTTGGTTTAAGGGACATTATAACCTGTTCACCACGAAAAATAACAAACATACCATGCAACAGACTTACAAATCCTTCCCAGTGAAGGACTCTTGTAAACAGAAAGGATCTCTTTGCTCTTAATTACAAATTAACTGATTTGTCAAACATCATAGTACATTTTTAAAAAGATGAAAAAATATGCAACATTTCCACAATAATACTCAAATTTACTTTTAGTTTTCCAATCATGGCCTAATCTTTATAAAGAAAACTAATTTTCAGATAGGCTAAATGTAGGAAATGTTATCCAAATGTTACTCCACTAAATCAAACAAATTAGGGTAAAGATATCAAAAGTGGATCTAACATGATTTTTTCTGATGCAATAGTAACTTTTACAAGTTTAAATGTATAGGTGTTTAAAATAAAAGTAAAAGTATACCTACCACACCCACCAGAGATGATCACCATTAACCAAGATTTTAATCTTTGAGACAATAACTCAGCTTACACACACCAGATTCACAAGACACATATACATATACATTATAACTGCCTTTTTTTTCTGCAAATGCCTTTTTATTGTATTGTAGATATCTTTCAGTATAGGTACACATAGATCTAATCCATTTCTTTTAAAAGTTGCAGGTGAAATGTAATTTATTTCTCTAGCCCTCAGTTATGCACATTTAGACTGTTTACAAGTTTTCAGTACAATAAAGTAGAAATCAATTTCCCTGTACACATTTATACACATATTTCCCTAGATAAAAGCAAAATTGTTGGACAGAGGTTTTGTACTTTTTTAAAATATGTAACTTTTGATACATATTTACAAATTTCCATCCAAAGAGATTTTACCTAATTTATACTACAGCAAGCTGATGAGAGTAGCCATTTTACCATATACCAAGTATGTCAAATGTATATTATCATTCTTTAAAATTTCTGACACCAAATATATTTACATCTATCATTTTAATTTGTACTTCTTTATTATCCACTAGGTTAGACATATCTTCATTAATATATTATTTATTTCAATTACTTTAGGGAACTGACTTCCTCAAATTGATAACATTCTTTAATAAAATAAATTGCTAACTTCATTTTCAATAAATAAATCAATAAAAAATTGATAAAATTCTTTGCCCATTTTTCTATTAGTCTACTCTTTTTCTTAATAACTTAAAAGTTTTCTTTCCAATTAAGGATACTATCCTGTGTAGTGTGTTTCAAAATTTTTTTCCCGATAGTTCTTTGTAAATATGTTCATGGTGCCTTTTCCTGTATACTAATTTGACTTTAAGTATTCAAATTAACAACTGTCTTAGGAGTAATTACTGACTAATCCATTCTTTCCCTAATGATCAGAATTCAAGGCCTGTTTCTCACTTTCCACTGTGTTCCACTGATAGGTCTATTCTAGACTAGAGTCAATTGCTTTAAATTAATCCATACCATCTCACATACCCATATACATGACACACTTTTTTCTTGAACTATTATTATACCTTTATACAGTTCATTTGGAATAATCATCAGTTTGACAAGTAACAACACACCTCCCCAACTTTACTATCATATTTTATGAGAATCTCCTCCAAACAGATTAATTTGGAGAGACATTACTTCTACAAAAGTGAGTTACTCTCCTATCCAAGAACATATATGACTCTATTACTCAAGCTTTGTATTATGCCCTAATTGCCTAAAGAGTAATATTCATTTTAAAATAAATAAAACAAGTTTAATTGTCAAGAAATCTATCATACATAATGGTCCGTCTTTTATAAAAATCAAAGAGAAAAAAATCAAAATATGGCTAATACATGCTGTTTTTTAATCTACCATAAATTCCATAATAGTCTTCTCCTTACCTTGATGATTCGATCACCTGTCTGTACTCCAGCCCGCATGGCTGCTCCATCTATAAGAGAAATTAATAACTTAAAACAGAATTCATTTCCACTCACTGATAATCTTCCTGAAAGAGAGGCAGTGTAAAAAAGTGATTAAAAACATGGGCTGTAAAGTCAAACAGATTCAGGTTCAAATCCTGCCTCTGCCACTCACTAGTTGTGTGACCACTGAATGACGTTATGCTTTTTCACTCTAAGCCTAAATATCACCTGTAAATATCACCTTTTTGGGCAGAAAATACACCTACCTCAAATTATAGCACCCCACATAAATGAAGTATTCAAAATATAGTAACAGCAGTAGAAGTTATTACTATCATCCTTTTGGGAAAAGAATGGATATTTTTGAGCAAATAACCATCTCTTCAATCTGTCTCTATCAAATGTCTCTGGTGGCATGAAGAAATATAATTCCACAAACTTCTGTAAGTGATAATGCATAAAGTATCATGATCAAGGAGTCTATGATTTCTAAAACTATGTAAGAACTGTATTATTTCTATAAAGTACAAAGCAAATCAAATCAACTGGGGTCAATTCATGCCTATAACTATGACACTAAAGACAGATCTAACACAATAGTCCATATGACCTACACTGCCTGTGATTAATTCCTTCTGGACAAGACACATTATTCAAGCATTTCTATTCTTAATCTGTTTGTTCCCAAGTGACAAGACCGTTTTTAAAAATGCCTTGCCTTCTTTGACAGACTGCACGAAGACTGGATTGTCCCCACTGACCGTCAGCCCAAATCCATTGTCATCTTTCTGGATGATCACACAACGTTGCACAAGACCTGCACAAGAACCACAGGGTAAAGAGAGAAAGAAAGAAAACAGAGAAAAAGACAGTTATATATCAGTAATGAACTGTATTCTATCTGGAGAAATACAAGGTAGACATGAAACCCATATAAAAAATAAGAGCAGTAATCCTCACAGAGAAAACAAACAAGAACATCGCAAAGAGTCATATATGTTGATTTCTCACTAGACAGGCAGAATAGAATTGTTCCAAGATTACAAACAGCTATGGCGAACTGGAAAAGAAAGTATTAGAGAGGAGACACTTAGAAGGAAAGCCCATTCACATTTATACTGTTTATTTGTCACAGAAAATCCTCCCCCACTACCCTGGGTTTTTGGTGCTCTAATTAGTGTTTAAACCCAAGAAAACGAAATGTTTTGGGATATTAGGTGAGGAGCATTCCACGGTAAATGTTAGAGAAGTCCAATCTTACTCTCAGGAATATATACTCAGAAAAACAGACTACACAAAGAAAGGAGGTGCTTGCAGAGCGCCTGCAGCTTTTCTGCCGAAAGGGAAAGAGAAAAAGTTCAAAGGGAAGAAAGACCTTGGCTCACAGAAAAAATACAGAGAAAGGACAAAAAAGCAGAAAAGATTAAGTATTTGTAAGCTAAACCACTTCTTTTTCTTTCATATACTTACCTGATGCCTACAGGAGAGTTTGTTTTCCTCCCAGTTAAACAGTGAACAAACATTGTCAGGGCAAGGGAAGAAGAGAAGGGGGGCCACAGCCAAAGGATCAGGGTGCCCCACACTAAAACCCTGATTAGTACCCAGGGCTGTTTATCAGAGATCTAGATCTGAAGGTCCTGAGCTCTGTGTCAGGCAAAGATTTAATACTTTGAGCTTTGCAGAATCTAAGTATTTCACTAAAGTTCAATATATAAAACATGTAAAAGAGCACAAGTATAATGATGATTAGAAAATATAAACTTCTTCAAAACAAAGATTTTATACAAAGAGCGATGACCTTTTCAGTAAGTTTGACTTACAAAACAAAGGATATGTTAAAGGCTGCATATTAATGTATATGTATAAATATGTATGTGTGTGTATGCATATATATTTCTTGCTGCTACAGATGAAACACTAGAATAACTGGATCCCAGTATGGAAAACACAAACCTAGAACCTTAAGTCATAACTCTACACAAAGATTAGAGCAAATATTGGACCTAAATAAAACAGCTAAAACTTTTCATAAGAAAACACAGGAGAAAATCTTCAAGACCATTGGGTAGGATGCAAAATGCATTAACCATAAACAAAAAAAAATGGTAAACTGGACTCGAAATTTAAAATATCTGTTCTCCTGAAGACTGATAAGAAAATGAAAAAAAAAAAGCCACAGAGTAGGAGACAATATTCACAATATAAACATCTGATAGAAGACTTGTAAACAAATTATATTTTTAAGAAACTCGACAATTCAGTAATGGAAGACACATTTTAAAAGGCACAAAAAATCTAAATAAACACGTCACAAAGAAAGAGACACCAATGGCCAATAAGCACATGCAAAGGTGTTCCACATCTGCAGTCACCAGGAAAATGCAAGTTAAAACCACAGTGAGGTACCACTACACACTAACTAAAATGGCTAAAAATAAAAAGATAATACCAAGTGTTAACATGGATGTGGAGCAACTAGAACTCTCATATGTGGTGGTGGGAGTTAAAATGGTACAAACATTTTGGAAAACAGTTTGGGAATTTATTACAAAGACAAGCATACATTTACATATGACCCAGCCATTTCATTCCCAAGAGAAATGAAAACTCATGTCCACAAAAAGACTAGTACACAAATGTTCACAGTAGTTTCGTTCCTAACAGTCCAAACAGAAACAACTCAAATGCCCACCAACAGATGAACGGATGAACAAACTGTGGCATACCTATTATAATAAAATACTACTTACCTATTTTAAAGAAGGAATTATTCATACATGCAACAAACATGGATTTATCATAAAAACATGCTAAGCAAAAGAAGGCTGCTACAAAAGAGAGTACAGTACATACTGTATGACTCCTGTAGGGAACAAGTGAAACTAAACTACAGCGATAACAAACAGACCAGTGGTTGCCTAGGGGTCGGGTGCAGAGAAGGGGTGAGGATGACCGCAAAGGGACATGAAGGAATTCTGCGAGGTGATGGCAAGGTTTCGTGTCTCAACTAAGGTAATGGTTATGTGAGTATATCCATTTGTCAGAAGTTATTGAAATGTACACTTAAAACAAATGCATCTTATTTCATGTAAATTGTACCTCAAGAACATTGATTTTCAACATTTAAAAAAATTGTTAACTCTCAATTCTAGAGATAACCAACTGAACAGCACCTGGGTTCACATATTCACTACTCCCACAGAACAGTGAATGGTAACGGGAGCAGAATGTTGACCCACCGTAACTTTACTTTCTTCTTTTGCTTAATGTTGTTTCCTTCAACTAATTAGGAAAAACTATAAATAGAAGAGCATAAACACATAAAATCAAGGGAAAAGGCATTCTTTATAAATTTCTAGTACACAGTATAATAAATATAAGACTCAGAGAACCTCAAAATAAAAGGCCATGATTTATAAGAATCCTTTAAAATCCATGCTTGTTTTCAGAAAATAGACATCTAATAACCTCCTTTACAGTTATTTGAAATTCCAAAATAAATTAGACATTGGCTTTAAAATAAAAATCAAGACAACTGCAACACTGAAAAGATGTTTTTCATAATATATCCATCCCTCCCAATTCTCCCACCCATCTCCCAAGAACTGAAAAGCAGGGAATTAAGTTTCTAATATTGGTGCTTGCTGTGCTAAGCCCCTGGGCTTCTTAAACAACATTTTCTCAGGCCTCTGTAAAGAACAGGGTGCTTGTAAAAAATGAAGGAGAGGAGTAGTAAGGGGTGAGAGCGCTGTGCTAATGCACTTCACTTGAATATAATGTACATGAAGTACTTAGCTCAGTGCTAACTGATTTTATTATGACTGGGGTAGGCTGCCTTGGATTTTCCTGCTCAGAAATATATTGCTCATCTATCCACACCATCAATTCAAAACACTTTTGTGTTAACGAACTCTTATCACTAATGCAAATAGTCCTTAAAAGTATGAATCCTTGTTTATGTCTTTGTCTAAATTTTGTTTTGTATTAACAAATTAGCATATTAATTTTGGACGAGGAAGGAAAGAAAGAAGGGAAATTTTACAAGGCAGGGCTCCCTGTGACAGGTAACTTCAGAAGATGAGAGACAGCCAAGAAGACCTCAAGAACAAATCTTCCTCCTGCATGTTTTTCCTACATACCCAGACTGGGCTAGGTACCCCCTTAAGGATTCCTGCCGCACTCTCTACGTACTCTCATAGTACCCGTATTGCTCATGATTGACTCACATTTGTTTTTATCCTCTCATCGGATTACATGCTCTAAGAGTTCAGGGTCTCTATCTTGTTTACAGTCTTATCTTGGTACCTGTCTTATGTTCTGACAGAGAGGAAATTTTTAGAAATTGCTAATGAAGTAGTGAAAATTGGAAAAGAAGAGGACTCTAGAGATGGATGGAAGCCCGGAAAAGGAGGTGATCAAAGAGAGAGAGAAAAAAATACCACCACACACAGTCAATTTTAGCAAATGTCCTAGGGTCCCAACAGACTGTTAAGGGTTGAGTAAATTTATCAGGATTACCTCAGAATACTGCAATATGTTTTCTCCAGTTCAAAACTGTTCAGCCTGATAACTTTCCCTTTCAATTCTGCTTCAAGAGGAGTGGACAAGCAACAAAGGACAGAGAGGAAAACGACAAAGAGCTGTGTGTGCATCCTGTTCACGTCTCCCCAACCCCACATTGTCTGTTTATTATTCTTATTCTATCTGCTGATGTGAAATTTGATGTATTTTAACATATAAAAATTACTAGACCAATAAAATGGAAAACATACTTCACATATACAGCCAATTCAGAATCTATAGAATTCAAATTAGTATTATTCTGTCCTTTAAATCTGTGCCATCTGCATAAACTTTAGATTTGGGGTCATAATTTACTGAAAACTAGTCTTGTCACACCATTCAAAATTCAGAAATACTCAGATGGTTAGATCTATCATTGTCCTTCCCACTCAAAAACCAAACAGAATGTTTTCCTTTTCTCTTGAAAGGAATGTTCTACTTGTAGACCAAATGTTCTACTGTAGACCAAAAGTCATTTTAACCCACGAGAGGATGAATTCCACTCTTGACACTGAAATCACCAATAATGATGAAATAATCATATCTTTGAAATGTTCTTTTTGACAAAAAAAAAAACCAAATACTTCTTTGTTTTAGCAAATTTGTACTGAGCACATGTTACTTGACACTGCGATCTGTAGGTGTTGGGAGAAATACAAAACACCTAGACATCTTTGCTCTCAAAGGACTTAAAATCTGGGTGAAAGGACAATAGAAAAACAAATGGGGATACAAGGCCGTCTCACTAAGAGTAAGAACGAGAGTATGGTACGGATAACAGGTCATGCATGTGATAAAAGAAGGGAAAGATAAAAGTGGAGTTCTATCTCCAAAACAGCCATTTTCAAATTTCATTTAAAAAAAACCCACAAAAACCTTCCATCATTGTACTTTTTCTGTTTTTTACAAATACATATAGTCCATGGTTTGATTTTCCTCATTTCCTAAATCCCTTATTGTCTTGTATAGTGTTCATTAGTTGTAATTACCACACAAGTGTGTTTAACTCTGACCATGAGTTTTTATAAGGTTGTAAAATCTCTTTAATAAGAGCTTTACCCAAGCACTTGGTATGAAGACAGCTAGAGTGTTCAACAGATAAGAAATGATAAAGTTTAAAATTTGATAATGATAAAGCTTGACACTTAGTCACAGCAATATTTCTTCATTCTTATTGTTCTTAGTGCCATATGAAGATGTTGTTCATAACTATTTTTAAAATGTATATGGAATATTGGTAAACAAGTGTATATC